AAAGTACCTTTTTTTTTTTTGCGATACTGGAGTTTGAAGTCAGGGCCTACACCTCGAGCCACTCCACCAGCCCTTTTTTGTGATGGGTTTTTTTGAGATAGGGTGTTGAACTGTTTCCCTGGGCTGGCTTTGAACTGTGATCCTCCTGATCTCTGCCTCCTGAGTAGCTAGGATTACAGGTGTGAGCCACCAGTGCCTGGCTAAAGTACCCTATTTTTTGAACCTCTTTTGCAAAATCAGAATTAGTAATACTTTATGTGACTACTAAGTGTTAGAAATCATAGCGTAGGACAGAATATCCATTATACGTGTGATATAATGGTAGAAAGCACCAGCTCTTACATTCTATTGACAGAAACAGCTGTTATTTATTAATATTTGTTACATGCTAGACCATTTGTCATTGCTGTGTCATTCCCACCCACTCCTCACTACCTCTGACTGCACTGCTGCCCTCTATATCTGCCCACATGTGCTTGCACATACACACTCAGTGTTCCTAAAGTGGGGATATTTTACAACTCTGAGGCTGGCTTCTGACCCTAGTCCCTGGAATTCTCTTCCTCCTTGTTTGGAGGACTACCATCCTAGGCCTTTCTCACATGTATTTCTCTGCTGCTTCCTCTAGAAACCACCCCTCTCATTTCTGCTTCTGGGCAGAAATCAATCATCTCTCAATCTTTTTTTTTTCCTTTGGTGGGACTCGTTGGCAGTAATGGTGCTGATAAGTTTCGGTTCTTACTGCACCCTTAAGCTTCTGTTTCCCAGGGTCATGGTCCTGCCTCAAATCTAGCTTGAATTCCCCTCTGCCCCAACCTCCAATCAGCATGAACCATAAGATCCTAAGCAATCACTGAGGGGTATTTAAGCACCTGCCCTTCTCTCTCTCTCTCTCTCTCTCTCTCTCTCTCTCTCTCTCTCTCTCTTTTCTCTCTCCCTCTCCCACCCAGCAATAAAGAATCTCTTGGCCAGATCACTCCTCTCCGTGTGGTCACTTTTGGGGCCTAGAGGACTGGGGTTTGAACTCAGGGCTTCACTCTTGCAAAGCAGGTGCTCTACGCTTGAGCCACACCCCCAGTCCATTTTTCTTTGGTTATTTTGGAGATGGAGCCTTGTGAACTAGTTGCCCAGACGGGCCTGGAATTATGATCTTCCCGATCTTAGCATTCCAATTAGCTAGGATTACAGGAGTGAGCCACTGTCACTGGGCCATATCTCCCTTTATATGTAACACAGTTACTGCACTTCATCACAATGTATTTGTTACTTGTTGTCTGTCTTCCCAGCCAAATGGAGGCCACTTCTTTTTTTGTATCCACAGCTTCTGATACGGTAGTGGCATATAGTAAATTGAGTAGAAGTTAAGCCAGATCAGGAAAGACACTGAATGCTAGGCTGAGGAGTTAAAGCTTTAACCTGCAGTTGGGGAGGAACTATGGAAGATTTTTAGACATGATCTTGCATGGATTCTTCCAATATCAAGTGCTTTTCGCTTAGGTGCACCAAGAAGAGAGGCTTAGGTGCACTGTTTGTAGCCTGATGTGTGAAGGCTAGGGTCTGTCCCTCTGACAGCACTCAACCTCGTCTGAACCTCTAGTGGTCTCCGTGTCTGTACCTGTGTTCTTACTTAATTCTGTACTGCTTTGACTTCAAGTTTCACGGTGTCTTAGGTTTGTCTCATCTTCCTAATAAGAGCATAAATCTCATTTCTTTGTGTGCACAATGCTTTCCCCTTTGCCCCCACCCCATACCTAACATAGAATAAAGCATATAGTAGCTATTTTAATAAGTACCATTCAATTGAAATTGAATCAAATTCTCTGGGGATTTAAAATTTTGCACAACTACAAAAAAAAAGAATTATAGCTAATCCCCAGAGCAAATCATTACATGTGGCTCAGTGGGAACGGGTAATCTTACCTAGTTGAGGTATGGGTTGTTCAATATATCCTTGGAGTTAAGAATGTCCTGATACTGGGTATATAATCAATAATAAAGATCAAGTGAGAACTAAAAGCTGACCAGTTTACAACCATTTCAATCATGCTGTACTGAGTTACACAGAAAGTTAATGACAGAGCATTCCTGAGTAGTTTTGTTAAAACAGTTCATCCTGGTCCTATTAGAATAATTCATGCTGATTAAGGGACAGGTCACCCCCTCAAACAATGTTTTAGTCTCTTTTTTTTTTCTGGTGGTACTGGAGTCTGAACTCAGGGCCTTGTGCTTGCTAGGCAGGTCTATACTGCTTGAGCCACTCCACCAGCCCTGTTTTTGTGTTGGATATTTTCAAGATAGGGTCTCTATTTACGAATTATGATCCTTCTGATCTCTGCCTCCTGAGTAGCTAGGATTACAGACGTGAGGCACTGGCGCCTGACAAGTCTTTTCTAGTTCCCTCAAATACCAAGCCCTGACCTTGGCACCAAGTTTGGATCTTGAACTATCCAGAATCAATTTGTAGCAGGTTCCATAATGTTTTGGGGTAAAACCATATACTTTTTGAGCTAATAGTATGTTCTTTGTAGCATGGAGAGATGAGCTAGGAAAAGGCAGACTTGCGTAAGAGTCTTGAACCTCCTTTGTCTCTATTTCCCCTTTATTTTCTTATTTATTTTTGAAATAGGGTCTCACTTTGTAGCTCAGGTTGGCTTCGAACTCACTATGTAGCTCAGGCTCCCCAGTGTCTTCTTCCCCTTTAACTCTCAGAGCCAGGCTTAATATGCCAGGAAAAAGGAAGTGGGACAGCCACCATGAATTGTTTCTGTTGGCAGAAAAGCAAGGAAGTGGAATGGTTTCCTTTTCAGCAGGCACACATTTGACAATTGAATTCTCTTGCGAGCATCCCTAGAATGACAATTGGAATGGCGTGGTGCTCTTTCTCTCTTTCTCTCTCTCTCTCTCTCTCTCTCTGTCTCTGTCTCTCTCTGTGTCTCTTTTTGGCTGTTGGAGGGTTTAGCCAATGAAGGGCATCCCTGGAAATTTAATTAATTATAATTATGTATTTTTGGTGGTACTGGGGTTTGAACTCAGAGCTTTGCACTTGCCAGGCAGAGCTCTGCTGCTTGATCCTGGGAATATTAAAATCACCTTTATTGAGGAAAATTTTGTATACAATGAAATGCACACATTAGTCTGCTGAGTTTCGACAAATGTATGCACCCATGGAATTATCACTCCAAATAACATATAGATTTTTTTTTTCCCCTTGGTTACACTTCTCATGTCCCTTTTGATCTGATAACCCCCAACCTGCACAGGCAGCTTCATATGTGGTTTCTGTCTATAGATCCCTGTTCTGGGGTTTCAGATAAATATGATAAACTCTTATGTCCATGCCAGTTTTTACCAGCAGTTTTTTTAGTCTCTCACCCCACTGCCCCTCTCTCCATATGTATGCACTCCTCCGCCTTCCTTAACTTCCCCATGTGTGAACTGGGCTTTTCACTACCTCTGGGAAGATATGGTTCCCCAACTCAGTTATTGCATTAACTTGAATTCTTCTGTCCTCTGACATTTCTAAATGAAAAAGGTTTGTAACATAAAAGGGACAGCAAATTAAGTGCCATTTCTCCATTTATGCTCCTGGAGGAGTCCTAATGACTGTAGGTTATTCCCTCCGTGCCATGTGGGGCCTCATTGAGATAATAGAATTTGCAATGAAAGTATCTGGGAGACACAAGGCTGTGCTCCCCTACCCCCAGTCCATTAAGTCAGGACTAAAGTTTCCTCTGTAAATCTTGAATGCATTAGTGGCAACTGGATTCAGGGTCAAATGTCAACTACTCTACTGTGAAGGGAGAAGACATCTGTGGCTAATTAGACCACTAGTTGGCAAAACGGGATGGGGAGGGGCAGGATCTGGTCTGAGCTCTGCACCAATGGGGAGCCAGCTCCCTGTCCAGTAGTCAGCTCCCTAAAGGGGGGTGAAAGACTGAGATTTGTTTGTAGTAGGGGCAAGGCATCTACCCCAGGTCAGCTTAAGCAGGTCATAGTGTGGAGAACTGGGTCCTGCTTTCATCAGGCGCCAGAGGTCTTCCTCTTCTGCTCACTCTAAATTTAATCTTTTACTTTGGAGAGATAAGTTACACCCACGTGAGCCCAACCAAACTTTTTTTCCTGCCTTAAGCTAGGTTCTTGGATGACCCACAATTTGTATGAAGGTGTTCAGAGGCTTTAATTAATATGCACCTAGGTCAGAGGACATTTATTCACTGATCCTTTTATTATTGCGTTTGACAAATACTGATTTTATTAATTTTTTTGGTTGGGACTGGGGTTTGAACTCAGTGCTCTGCACTTGCAAGCATGTATTCTGTTGCTTGAGCCACGCCTCCAGTCCATTTTGCTCTGGTTATTTTGGAGATGGGGTGGGCCTTGACTGGCCTCAAACCACAATCCTACTTATCTCAGCTTCCCAAGTGGCCAGGATTACAGGCATGAACCACCGGCACTGAGCTTGATAAATATTGAATAGTTACCATGTATATATTGCCAAGCACTGTGGAGTCCCCAAAGATCAGTTAGATCTTTAAAAAACTTTTTGTTGGTTTTTTGAGACAGGGTCTCCCTATGTAGCCCATGCTGCCATGTTGGCCTTGAACTCATTATCCTGCCTCTGCCTCTCAAGCGCTGCGATTATAGGCTTGCACCACTATGCCCAGCCTTGTTAGATACTCTTTGCTTAGAGAGATCAGTAACAATGTGTTGCCTAGCTGAAGTCTAGCAGGACCATGACGTTTATAAGCATTAATTCAATAGGTGGAAGGCTATGAGAATCATGGAAAGCTTCACGGAGTAGGTGCATCTTGAACTGCACCTTATCAGGACGGGGAATTTCAACTGGCAGAGATGAGGCTGGGAACTTATTCAAAGAGAAGGGCAGAAGTAAAGGCAAGAAAGGAATCTGAATGGATGCAGCCTTCCACACTGTAGCATATTGTCTCTTTGAGGCAGGTGGCCTCCTGTTTTGAGAACCTCACTTTGCCTTTGCTTCACAGATCAATGAGCTGAGCAATGTCCCTGTCCCTGTCATGCTAATGCCAGATGACTTCAAAGCCTACAGCAAGATCAAGGTGGACAATCATCTCTTCAATAAGTAAGTGGCCTACTGAGTGGGCTCAGGTGTGTGGGTATTCCCTTCCTTCAAGCTTCTGAAACCTCACAAGTGGAGTACCAAATCAGCACCTGGCAGAGTGTAACAGCAACACCTGGCTCACAGAGCTGACACACTGGCAGGGAAAATGCATTCATTGTGCCCTTTATCCTTCCACTATCTACTTTACCAGCCTACCTCTAGTGTCCCTTGGGGCATGTGGCTAGGCCTGGGTGATTGATTCATCAAAGACCAGCTCTGGAGAAGTGAGCTACTCCAAGCTGGCTGAGGTATCTAGCTGAGGCAGGAGGCTGCCAGGCATTTTCCTGACCTGGGGTGCAGCCAGGAGCCTTTCTCTTCCACCAGTGTGTGAGCACCAGGCTGAACTGAGGGTGGTGCTCAAGGTCACTACCCAGAATAATTCTTTTTTTTTTTTTTGGTGTAATTGGGGTTTAAACTAATAAACTCAAGGCTTCAGGCTTGCAAAGTAGGCATTCTATTGCTTCAGCAACACCTCCAGTCCATTTTGCTCTGCTATTTTGGAGATTGGGTCTCTTGAACTATTTCCCCAGGATGGCCTTGAACCAAGATCCTCCCTATCTCAGCCTACCAAGGAGCTAAGATTACAAGCGTGAGCCACCGGTGCCTGGCTACAATTCTTCCTATTTTTGACTTTGTGGCTTCTTGGACTTCAGACCAGTGTCTGAAGTTTGTTTCAGGCATGGGTGAAAACCCCTCAGCAGCCATCTCACCTGGCATAGTTGGGGGCCTGCTTTAAGTCCTTTGGAGGCTTGGTTTTTCATCCCACTGCAGGCAGCCCCAGGAACCTTTTGCCACTCACACTCTGCTCCTTTCTGCATATCCCCCTGGTTCCATTCTCCATTGTATTGCAGTCTCCACTTCATCAGCTGTGTGATCACCCCACATTTCCAGACTATTAGTCCAAAGGAAAAGCTTGAGTTCAGTACATCTCATAGTGGCCTCTCTCTGCCATAGTAAGTAATAACACCTTGTTCTAGAATATATCTGTCTCCAGAGCTGCCACCTTCTAAGTGGCCACCTAAGGAAGGAGAGGCAGCCCTTGACTCAGGAAGGCAAGGGGGTTGTTGTGTTCCCATTGCACCACCTTCTCTTTCAAGGTCCCAACCTTGGTGAGCTTCCACCTTGACATGTTGCCCTAGAACAGAGCACTCAGTCTCATATTTACTTCTATCTTTATTCCTTTTGTCTGTTCAACAATTGTTCATGTGCTGTTTGTTAGACAACAGTACTAGTCACTAGAAGACTGGTAAATAAGGCATAATAGACCCCTCATTCATAGGGAACTATTCATTTTTATTTCTTGGAAGTCTGTTATCCTGAAGTAGCTAGAGGGTTTCTATCTAAAAGTGAGTCCTTTGCCCAGATGCTGTTGTAAAGATGGGGGATTGGAAGGAGTCTTCATTTCAGGGAAGTTTTTTCCCTGCCTGGGAGTCTGGGCATTGAGTAAGGAGTGGGGAGGGTGGAGATTGGTGCCAACAGCCAGTAAACAAGGCTTTGTGAAAGGATCCCAGTCAGCTGATTGCAAACCTCTCCACTCCAAACCACCCTTTAGCTTCATTCCAGTGGAAGCCCTGGGCAGGGCTTCCTGGATATAACCATCTTCAGGATGTTTTCATAGGAACATCCCAGAGAAGAGACACCTTTTGATGATGAGGATCTTTTCATATTGATGCCTCACAGCAGGTGCTCACATGCAACTACCTCCTGTAACAAATACAGCAGTTATGAGTGGGCATACACTGGGTCTCACCTCCCAGTGGGTAACATTTTTTCCCCCTTTTTTGAAGGACAACATACCGAAAAATACACAAATCATAAGTATACAGCTAGTGTAAGTAAATAGAGACATAAAGTTTTTAAGCTTTTATATGCTCAGAATCACAAACAGTGTTTGTATTTTTACAGATTTCCAGACTCACCTTCAGAATTTAAGGGCTTAGGAACCTACATTTTATGCACAGCAGATTCTTTAGGTCCTGGTGATCTGTGGGCCATACTTTGAGGAATTCTGATGTCAGAGTTAAGCTGAGCTGGGGGCAGTTCACAAAGCCTTGTCTGTCTTTTCCCCTAGAGAGAACCTCCCCAGCCGCTTCAAGTTCAAGGAGTACTGTCCCATGGTGTTCCGAAACCTCCGGGAGAGGTTTGGAATTGATGATCAGGATTACCAGGTACAAGCTGTTTTAGCAAAACTGAAGGACTTAAGTGGGGAGGAGGGCTGTCAGGAAGCCACAGCACAAGTCGAGAGGAAAAAGTGTTGGCTGTCCTTGTGCTGCATCTCCCTCCAGCCCTACCAGTCTCCCTAGGACTGATGGCACTTGGTGGGGTAAGGGTGCCTCTTAGGTTCCTATCCCTGGGAGGGAGAGCAGCGGTTGGGAGAGGGGTGTGCGGAAGCTGCTTCATTTCAGTCTGACATTCCCAGTCTAGGCTGAAGAACCTCTCCTTCGTAGTTTGACTTAAAAGAGAGAAAATTGTTGCCAGCGAGAGATGAGGCCTCTTAAAGCAGATAAGACAGATTAGAAAAGGAAGACTTCAAGGGTAGTGTAACCTTCTGCCAGGTATGAGTGTTACCTCCTAAACTTGTCCCATGTCCTGGAGGTGGGAGGGGTAGGCATGGTAGGGCAACTGCCTCCTTCAGGGGGCAATACTGTCATTGGCCTATTGGGAGGAATCAGTTCCAATATCAGAACATTACAGTTTTCACTCAGAGTCTGTGGCTTCCATCTCTTCTCTACCTGTGCTTCTTGGACCCTCCTCCCTGATAGACCTCCTGTGAAGGTGGAGAACTTTCCACTTCCCCCTTATAGCAGTAAGGATATAGGTTGTCAGCACAGTGAAATCTAAAAAGGATGCCCAAATCCTTTAAAACATTAGTTCCTTCCCCCTTCCCTAGGAAGCCTTTCACAGAGTTCACAGGAGCAGAGCAGGCCTTGGGGATGGGATTTCTTTCTCTCCTTCCCCTCCCTCCTCCGCTCTGGAATACCTGCTTGCTGAGATTAGTGTCCTGATGAGGGTGAAGGGGACACAAAAGGAGGAGTTGAGATGCCAGGGGCTTGAGCACCCAGGAAGGTCTACATCTAAGAAATACTGAGGGGGACCCCCCTCCAGCACCTCTGCTAGGACTGAACTCGGAACTAAATCATAATTTGACTGGAGCCTGATGTTTTGTGAAAGCAGCCCTAAGTCGTCTTTCCCTCACCGTGGTTCCTTTTTTGCCCCTCAGCTGCCTAACCACATCCTCTCTGTCTGCATTTTGCCTCTAATAGACTTGTGGGCACATGACTGTGCTGAAGGCTGAAATGAGGGCAGCAAGGCTGGTGTTCAGGGATGGAACTCTTACTTGTGGGCTACTAGTAATTTAGAGTCAGGAGATGTTGCTGGATGAGAGGTGGGCACTGCTCTGCCTCCACCTGGCCTGCAGCCTGGGTGTTTTACTGCTAGAGGGCCAGACAGGGAGAAGGGCACTCACTGACATAGCCTACTTAACATTTCTAGATTGAGGGCACCCCATTTTGGGGGAGTACTCCTTTAATTTAGCACCTTTGCCAAGTGATGTCCAGAGCCCCTTACCCCTTCTGCCTTAGTTTACCCCTGGAGGTGATACTGGAATTTGAACTCAGGGCCTCATGTTTGCTAGGCAGGTGTTCTATCACTGGAGCCTCTCACCAGTCCCCCCCACCAGGTTTTGAGGGGAAGTAGTAGGTGACAGAAAAGAGTAGGATGCTCAGGAAGAGACTGGGAGAGGGCTTGGAGAGAAGGCATTTCTGTGAGCAGATCTCTGTGGGTGTGTTCTTGGGAACGGGAACAGCTGGAATCTCCCCTGGGCCTTGCCTACTAAAGGTCTGCCCTGAGAACACATGCCTTTGGTCCACTCACACCTTCCCCCACCCTCTCTGAGGCTTCTCTTCTCTCTGACCCTAATGGGAGGGGCCTTGAGGAGGAGCAGGGACAGAGCCAAAGAGAGTCCCAGTCCTGCACAGGTGAGCAAGGCCAACGTGAAGGGAGGTGTAAGGCAGAGATGAAACCAGCCTCCCACTTTGGGAAGGGTTTTTCAGCACCAGGAACAATACAGGGAAAAGAGGTAAATGTGTCCATTGCCTACTTATGCTAGGCCTTTTGCATTTTGCCTAAGTTTGGTCTTTGTCACCCAAGAGACTAAAACAGGACTGGAGGTATGGCTCAAGTGAGAGAATGCCTGCCTTGCAGTGGGAAGCCCCGAGTTTAAATCTCAGTACTCCCAGACCAAAAAAAAAAAAAAAAGAGAGAGATTGGGAGATTGGGACAATCCACTTTGCCTGCCTCCTTGTATTCCAAATAAGGAAACTCAGGTTTAGAAAAGTTAAATGACTCACCCAAGGTCATTTATCTGTGAGGGTCAGGATTAAGACCCCTCTCGCACTGGAGAAGTGGCTCAAGTGATCCTGTGCCTGTCTACCAAGCATGAGGACTTGAGTTCAAATCATGGTACTGCTAAAAGCATTAAAAAATCAAAAGACATGTCCCTTACACTGAGGCAGTTTTAGTTTATAAGGTAGCTTTCTGAGGTTGGAATGAAAGGAAAACGCACAGTGAGGTTCAGGAGGAGGTGGTAAGGAGTAACTCTCATCATTTAGAAGTAAGATTTTAGGAATATGAACATACAGGAATATGAGAAACAGGATGGTAAGGTCCTCTCTGGAAGTCCTCTGTTTTAGTGTTTGTTGGCCTTTGAGCAACCAGCCCATAAGAGAAGACTGGAGTGTAGCTCAGTGATACAGCACTTACCTAGCATGTGCAAGACCCATTGTCAGCACTGCAAGAAACAAACAATAAAAACCTGTGCCCCTCCCCAAAACCAGCTGCCTTTGTCTTGGTCCCTCAGAACTCAGTGACACGCAGTGCTCCCATCAACAGTGACAGCCAGGGCCGGTGTGGCACGCGCTTCCTCACCACCTATGACCGGCGTTTTGTCATCAAGACTGTGTCAAGTGAGGATGTGGCTGAGATGCACAACATCTTAAAGAAATACCACCAGGTATGGTGAGTCCCACGCCAGGGCATGGAGGATGGGTTGGAGGATGTAAAGGGAGGACTAGGTCCTATGTGGTAAGGGCAAATGCTTCCTGATAACCAAGCAATGAGTCTGCTGCCACCATGTTTTTATGAGGTAAAATACCTATTGTATACATGAGGAAAGGGAACCACCTGAAGACACACCACTGACTCAGGCCTAGATGCACAGCTGTTTGTTGTCTGAGTTGGAAAGATTTTACAGTCTGACATCTGCCATGTTTTTTCTGAAAGAGGTCCCACTGGGCAGTAGTATTGTTTCCTTTCCTGTTCTATCTCTCCACACATCTGGAACCTGTCCAGGAGAAAAGTGGGAAGGGCTGAGATGCCATCTGAATGCCTGTCCAAAGCCCACCTGGATCTTCTCTCTGGGGCACCTAGAAGTGATAAAGGGAACTTCTGGTCTTTGGCGGGGTTACAGCAGAAACCCTAGGGCATGCTATGATAGGAACTTTATGTATGGAACCATTCTATTGTCCCAGACAGCAAGGTCTCACCCTGCCTCTGCAGCCCCTCTCTGCCCCTTGATTTTGCTGTGTTAGACTGGTAGGGGAGATGCAGGGCCTGGATCCCTGATTGTCCTGCTGTGGAGTCCTATTGCAAATACAGTCTTAGGTAGACTCCCAGAGGAGCTCTACAGTACCTACTCAGCTTACCTCTTACTCTGCTATGCCTTCTGGGGATCAGGGTGGCTATTGCCTGTTGTAAGTCCAAGGAATCTCCATTATTTCACAGAACCCATTTGGAAAACCACTAGTCTAAGTGTAGAATCCTATGGAGCCAGGGAGCTTTTAGCCAGGGAGAGCCCCATCCATCCTGGATACTTCATGCTACTTAGCCCTCCCTCTTTTCTGTTTTCTATTCTAGTTCATAGTGGAGTGTCATGGTAACACCCTTTTGCCACAGTTTCTGGGCATGTACCGCCTTACTGTGGATGGTGTGGAAACCTACATGGTGGTCACCAGGAATGTGTTCAGCCATCGGCTCACTGTACACCGCAAGTATGACCTCAAGGTAAAGGGCTGTGTTTCCCAGCGCTGTGCTGCCCTCTGTCTGAGGCTGAGAGGGACCACTACCAACTTCACTTAATTGGTAAAGCTGTAGCCTTGCATTAGTGTGGATGGGTGAATCTTGAGTTTATATGCCTAATTCTTATGAACCAGAGGCTGTTTGAAGTCCAGGTGACAGTGACAAGAAGTATTTATTTATTTATTTGTTTATTTCTTTTTTTTGGTGGGGCTGGAGTTTGAACTCAGGGCTTTGCACCTGCAAAGCAGGTGCTCCAGCACTTGAATCACACCTCTAGTCCATCTTGCTCTTGGTTATTTGGAGATGGGGGTCTTTCAAACTATTTATCTTGGCTGGCCTCGAACTGTGATCCTCCTGATCTCAGCCTCCCAAGGACCCAGGATTCATAGGCATGAGCCACCAATGCCCAGCTGACAAGAGGTTATTTAAGCCCTACAAATGTACCATCTGTATGTAACAGTTGATGCTTTTCAGCTCCTGTCTGTGGGTTGTGCACACCCGGGTTAGCAGGATGGGGACAGGCTGTGCTGACACATACAGTCTGGCATCTGTTCAGGCCTTGTGGAGTGACAGCACAAGTGCATTTCTAGACATTGAGAAGGACACACTTATGGCTTTGAGCCAGGATGCTCTATTATTCTCAAACCAAACTTCCTAACTTCTGTCACCTCATATAGCTGCTCCCTCCTTCTGCTGCAGCCATATTGGCTTCCTTTGCATCCCTTCAGTGCCTGTGCTTCTCCCTGCCCAGGATTTCATATACACTGCCTGAATAGGTTCCCTCCAGCAACCCTGCCTTCTCTCCCTCCCCTCCCCACACCTAAACACTCCTTACCTTCTGAGTTCAGCTCAGATACACTTCTTCCAGGAAATAGGCCTGACCACCACCCTTCCTCAGTCCAGGCCCGCCTTGTGTTACATGCTCTCAGAGTGTCTCCTCTCTGCACCACTTAGCACCACTGTTATGAATGAAGTAATGAGTTGTGAGCCACAGCTAGAAAGAAAGTTCCATAAGGGTAGGGACTGAGTATCCTCAGTGCAGTCCTGTTGCTGAGCCATGCACCCTCTGCATGGTCAGAGCTCTCTAAGTGACTGCACTGGAGGGAGTGGACCAGTTGCTGCCTCCTGACCCCTCTTTAGTAGGATGCTAACCAGCCTATTCCCACTTACTGCCAGCTCTCCCACTAAAGACTAGTGCACATTTGCTTGTTCAAAGGAGTTTGCCTCAGCTGGCCTTCTGACGGTTCTTATTCTTTCAGGGTTCTACTGTTGCCAGAGAAGCAAGTGACAAGGAGAAGGTATGCAAGTGTGGAAGGGTCACTTGGAATCAGAAACACCTTCTGTTGGTCAATCCATCCCTCCCCCTCACATCCTCTAGCCCAGTTCCCAGACATGCAGTCTTTGTCACCATGAGATGTTCTGTGTCACCAAGCACTTGCCTGTTCTCAGGACAGGCTAGGTCTCCAGACTTTTAGTTCTTCCCTCTTTGGGTTCTTTGTGTCCAGCTGGGATAGAAATGGTCTCCATGCCACAGTCCAGCCTGAATCAGTTAGTGGCATCCTGAACCCTGGTGGAGTCCAGGCCCAGCAGGAAAGGATACTTTGGTCAGACCTTCTTGTCCTATATATGCCACATGTTTGCATATCCCAAGTCTAGGCCTATAGGCTCCTGTGCTGTCAACTAAACAGGCTGAGGATCTTCTGCTAAAGACCTTCCCTTTCCTGCACACTGCTCCCAAAGGAACAAGTGAGTTGGCCTGCCTAACCTAACGCTGCTGTTGCTCTCCCAGGCTAAGGAATTGCCAACATTCAAAGACAATGACTTCCTCAATGAAGGGCAGAAGCTGCATGTGGGAGAGGAGAGTAAAAAGAACTTTCTGGAGAAACTGAAGCGGGATGTTGAGGTACTTATTAACTCTCATCTTCATAATAGCCCAGCAGGGTCCATCCTATACACAGAGCAGGAGCCTCTTTAACCTTCAGAGAAAATGAAATTCCCTCCTTTCCAGGAAAGCAGACAAAAGAAAGGTGGTGGTGTGAGCTGTGTAGGCACGATTTTGCACCTAAAGCTTGTGCAAATGGACATTCCATTTGTGCCATGTGTGCCAACGGAAATTTTGTAGCCAAATTTGGGATGCTTTTCCCTGTCTTTTCACTGGTTCATTCCTACACCTTCCTCAAGAGGGGCATCCCAAATCAGAGCCACAGGACACCAGCTATTGAGATCCTCCAAGCAGGCTGTATCTGGCTCTGATTCTCCACTTCCCCAGCAAGCTCCTGGTTGTAATGGGACTACCTGTGGAGGAGGTCCTTCAGGGGAGGACAGGTACTATCTACTTGAATATGTCTTCTGGACCACTGATAACTATGTCTGCTTTTTTTATGGAGCTGAGGATAGAATCCAGGACCTTGCACATGCTAGGCAAGCACTTTATCACTGAGCTACAATCTTCTCTTTTAATAAATTAAGAACTGGGTATAGTGACAATGCCTGTAATCCTAGCACTTGGGAGGCTAAGGCAGGAGGATTTTGAGTTCAAGGCCAGCCTGCACTACATAGTGAGCTCCAGTCTCAAGAGAAAAAAAGTGGTGGTGGGGGGAGTAGCTGCTCATTAAAACCAACCATACAACTTAAATTGTTATTTTTTTCACTGTGGTAAAATGTAAATAAATAGTCCCTGACTTATGATGATTTCAGCTTTATAATAGTGAAAAAGTGAAATGCACTCAGTAGAAACCATATTTTGATTTTTTTTTTTTTTTGGCAGTACTGGGTTTGAACTCAGGGCCTCTTGTTTGCTAGGCAGGAGCTCTACCACTTGAGCCACACCCCCAGCCCATTTTTTTTTCCAGATAGGGTCTCACACTTCTGCCCAGAGCTGACCTGGGACCATGAGCCTCCTACCAATGCCTCCCACATAGCTGGTATCAAAGGCTTGAGTTACCACACCTGTCTTATTTGTTGAGAATCGGGGGTTGGGGGGGGTTGGGAGGAGTGTCTCACTAACTTTTTGCCCTAGGCTGTCTTGAACCATGTTCCTCTCCATTTCTACCTCCCAAGTAGCTGCGATGACAGGAGTGTTCTACTATACCATGCTGTGCTTTTTCACCTTCCACAACTGAAACTGTCCCCATTAAATACCAATTCCCAATTCTCCCCTTCTCCTAGTAGCTGGCAAACAACATTCTTCTTTTTGTCTTTATGAAATTGACTACTCTAGGATGTTCATAAGTGGAATCATACAGTATTTATCCCTTTGTGACTGCCTCATTTCAGTTGGCAGAATGTCTTTAAGGTTCATCCATGTTGTAGTGTCTGAATGTCTTTCCTTCTTAAGGCTGAATAATATTCCACTGTAAGTATATACCACATTTTGTTTATCCAGCTGTCAACAGACAGTTGGTGTATTAGTCAGGATTCTCTAGAAAAGCTAAATTTCTATATAGAAAGAATTTTGTACTTTTTTTTTTTTTTTTTTTGTGGAACTGGGGTTTGAACCCAGGGACCTCAAGCTTGCAAAGCAGGTCCTCTACCACTTGAGCCACTCCAATAGTCCTGGAAAGAATTTTAATAAGGAACTATCTTGTGATTATGGAGGCTGAGGAATCTGCACTTTTCAAGTTGATTATAGCCAGAGAGAGATGATGTTACTAGTTCCGCTCCAAAGACCATCGAACAGTTAGGCAGGGGTTCTCTCTTACTCATGGGAGGTGTCAGTCTTTTCATTCTATTCAGGCCTTCCTCTGATTGGATGAGGTCCACTCACATTAGGGTGAGCAATCTGCTTTAGGCAGCCTACTGATTCAAGTGTTAATCTCATCCAGAAACACCCTCACAGATGCTCTGAAATGAATGCTTTGACCAAATACCCAGGTACCCAGTGGCCCAGTTGAAGGTGACAAAAAAATTGACATCATTCTTGGGTTGCTTCTACCTTGTAGCTATTGTAAGTAATGCTGCTGGGAGCATAGGTGTTACAAATGCCTTTTGCTAGGAAGCTTTTTCTTCCTCATCCTCACCTACATGATTCCTTCACTCTGTTGTTCATGCTCAGTTTGTTCTGAGTCTCTTTCTCCCTTTTCTTCTTCTCTTTCTATTCTGGTTCCAAGATGAATTTAAGTCAGTTTCCTTAGGTCATTTGCTTCCAATGTGTGTTGTTCTATCATTCTTCTTAAGGCACTGGGTGTGTATGTGAATCATGGATCTCAGTTGCTTCTCCCTTGCCTTTGTTTTTTCTTTTTGGTGCTGGGATTGAACCCAGGGCCTCGCGCATGCTAGGCAAGCGCTGTACCACCGAGCTACATCCCAGCCCCTCTCCCTCACCTTAAGGAGTTGTCTAGAGCTGCTCAGGAGGTGCCCCCACCTTCCTCTACTAAGCCTCAGGGTTGCTTGTCCTTTTGCTTGTGTTCTGGACCTAGGCGTAGCCACAGTCCTGTGAAGATGCTTCTCCTATGCTAGTGCCCTGGTGCTGTAGGCTGTTGGTGACTAGAGTTCATAGGTGGCCAGCTCCATCCCACACATGAATCCTGGTGTAGAGACTGAGACAGCATGTTGCTGGTTGCATTCATTGTTATGCACACCAGCAAACAGGTGTTGCAGGGTGGGGACCCATGTGCAGGGAAGGATCAAACATTCTCCCCCAACTCCACAAGGTCTCTCTTGACCTTCTGGTGGTCTTTTTTTTTTTTTTTATTGAGATAAATCTTTCTGTGTAGCCCAGGCTGGCCTCGAACTCAGGATTCATGCATGATCCTCCTACCTCAGTCTCCCAAGGTATGATGGTATGCTCACACCTGCAATCCTAGCTACGTGGGAGGCTGAGTATCAGAAGGATTGTGGTTTGAAGCCAGCCCCAGGAAAATAGTTGGTGAGATCCAAACTCCAAAATAACCAGAGCAAAATGGATTGAAGGTGTAGCTCAAATGGTAGAGTGTCTGGTTTGCAAGCACAAAGTCCTGGATTCAAACCCCAGACACACACACACACACACACACACACACACAAAGGAAGAAAGAAAAGAAAGAAAGAAAGGAAAAAACCAAATTACACTTTGCCTATGACCCTCAGTTAGAAGTGCCTTTTGCCTTGCAGCCAACAAATACTTATGTGCAACCAAAACACTATCTACCCTTACTTCATGTTATGCACACTCATTTTCTAATCTATTTAATAATTAGAAAAAAAAGAAAGAAAGAAAAACTCCTGGTCCCAGCCTGCTCATAACAGGTTAAGAGTCAGCATTTGAGAGACACTGCTGTGTTTTATCTCTCTGGCCTCTTCCACAATGCATCATGCCTTTACTTCTTTTCTGGAACTTGCCATGGCCTCAATTGGTCCCAAATCATTCTGGGCTGCTCTTTCTTCCTACTGTGCTCACTCTACCTTCCCTCCTGTGGTCTGTGCCTGACCAGTTCCTCTTCAGCCTGCAGCTGCAGCTTCAGTGCCTTTCCCCAGGACCTCTGTGCATACCACAACTCTTTGGCCTATTAAGTGACTGCCTCCCCCTTAGACAGTGAGCTCACCAAGGGTAGGCTGCAGTATCTTCCTCCCTGTTGTAGTTCAGAACCATGTGTAGAGTTGAGTTGCAAGGAATGCTTTATCCATTTCCAGATGCTGCTGGGATATCCCATGTAACTTTTTTTTTTTTTCCTTCCATATTTCTGCCCCTTGCCTCCCCAGTTCCTAGCCCAGCTGAAGATCATGGACTATAGCCTGCTGGTGGGCATCCATGATGTGGACCGAGCTGAGCAGGAGGAGATGGAGGTGGAGGAACGGGCAGAGGATGAGGAGTGTGAGAATGATGGGATGGGTGGCAGTCTGCTCTGCTCCTACGGCACACCTCCTGACAGCCCTGGCAACCTCCTCAGCTTCCCTCGGTTCTTTGGTCCTGGGGAGTTCGACCCTTCCGTTGATGTCTATGCCATGAAAAGTCATGAAAGTAAGTAGTGCCCTGTGATGCCCTGCCCACCTGACCTCTGCCAGGCTCACAGGTGGAATACCCAGGGTTGTCTGCACCTTTGGCCTTCTGCCTCTTGGCTCCTCCATGGGGTCACTGCCAGAAGCTGGAGTCCAGGGTTCCTTCTGTTAGACCTTCCTTCACCTTTCTGCCTGTCCTGGGTGAAGAAGCAGGGTTCTTCTCTAGCTCATGGGAAGAACAGACCTTATATGAACTTCCCTGTCACCATACCCATGGCCATGGAGGTCAAATGAGAAAGGGATGTGAAAACTTCTGAGAAGGACCCTTTGGTTTCTTTGCTCTAGAATGACAGGACAATTGGAACCTTATACTGGAGGAGCCACTTTCTGCTCTTCTCTCTGCCATCTCCCTCTTCTTCCCCGCTTCACCTCCCACTACAGGTGCTCCCAAGAAGGAGGTCTATTTCATGGCCATCATTGATATCCTCACACCATATGACGCTAAGAAGAAAGCTGCACATGCTGCCAAAACGGTGAAACATGGGGTGAGCTCTCTGTCTCCTCCAGGGTCCAGCCCAGCAGAGTGCCTGCACGCCCCCTTGTAGCCCCAGAAAGGGTGGTCCCTGCTTCCTGCTCTAGGAAGCACAGCCCTTCCCCTCCCCAGCAGAGAGCAGCCTGCATGCCTTGCTTTGGGCTTCCTGCCATCTCCACTCCCCCTCTCCCTGCCTGGCCAGGTGATCCGCACAACTTGTTTTTCCCCTCATTCTCTGGCTCTATGGGCCTGAGCTGCCGGCCTCTTTCCCCTGGGCTGCTGGGCATGCTGTGCGTCTTGTTGCAATTGCTTTGTTGACATGCTCACACATTCCCCACAGGCCTGGCTCCTCAGGGGCCTAAAGCTACTGTTCTCTATGCAGGCCCTCCTCAGAGATCCAGGGCTTCTTCACCACTTCCCCACCATCTTTCCCCTGCTTTGGTGGGTGTATCTTATAGAGGAGTGGGGCCAGGACAGTTACGAAACCTGCATATTCTTCTCTGAGGTGGCCTGCACAACCTGGGAACCAGTATTTAGCTGAATAAGAGGCATGGTGGTACACTTCTCTAATCCCAGTACTTAGGAGACTAAGGCAAGAGAATTCTGAGTTTGAGGCTAATCTCACTATATAGTGAGACCTTACTCAAAAAAAAAAAAAAAAATAGGGCTCCCAAGGAACAAGACCTGAGGAACTGACTTAAGTCTGCCTCTTGTATTACAGGCAGGAGCTGAGATCTCGACTGTGAACCCCGAGCAGTACTCCAAACGCTTCAACGAGTTCATGTCCAACATCCTGACGTAGTTATCTTCTACCTTCATCCAGAGCCTGATTGCTGCATATGGGGTTGGGGATCGGGAGAGGGTGTATTTGGGCTAGATGGGAGGGTGGGGAGCAGAGTGGGAGGTTGGGAGGGCTTTAGGAATGAGACTGCACCCTGTGACACTGAGAGTGACTCTATAAGGGAGGGGATGTGCTGTGTGTACACATGCTCACAGGATATAACCTTACCTCTGCTTACCCTTGATTCTTCTCCCCATTTGACCCAGGTTAAAAAGGGGTTCCCTGGGGGGAGGGCGTGACTCAAGCGGTAGAGCGCCTGCCTAGCAAGCATGAGGCTCTTGAGTTCAAACCCCAGTACTACAAAATTAAGGAGGAGGTCCCTTTTTGATATCTTCCAACCTTTTAAGATAACTTGGGGCTAGAGATGACTTTGTGGATTTATTTGGGTTTTGTTTCTGAAATTTTATTGCTCCAGGTTTACTTTTTATAATGATGTATGTCACCATCTAGCCACCCTCCCCATCCCTGCCCAGCTCTCAGTTTCCTTCAGTTAAAAGAGGCACCTGACAGGCCCAGCACGAGGGGCCTCAAAAAGCAAATGTCCCTGTTGCCAGCAAGGAGAAGAGGTCAGACACCTCAGCCCTGCCACATTTGATCTTATCTGGATTAACTTTTTTAATTTCATGGAGTATTGTGTGTAACTTCCTCCACTTTTCCACCTTGGATCCAAGGGAAATGTTACATTTTCACTTCTCCAGTTCCTCGCAAAGGACACAGTGGCAGCGTGGACACCCGACTTTGGATCAGACTCAGGTCCAGAGGGGCAGGTTCATTCCACTCTGGTAAGGCCAGGGAGCATCTGGGCTTTCAGACAGCTGTTCTGAGAGAACCCTATGATCATCACTCAAGCCCCAGGAGTGGGACCCCAGGAGTTCCCATCCTCTCTATGTCAAGCTTGCTTCCCATTGGCTCAAGAGGAACTAGAAAGCACCTTTGGATATAACAGGACCTTTGTGTTTCAGTGGTTATTTCCTTTTCGGAAAATCTGAGAAACTGCTCTGTGTCAAATGAGGTCTTATGTGCTCCATCCATTTCCTTCTTCCTGACCTCTGGGCACAGTCATCTGTAGCTTTCTTACGACCAGGGGCCGAGCCCCAAGCACCTGGTGCACTTTGCAGAGACGCCACTCCAAGCCCCAACCTACCGTGTAAGGTGTCTGGCTCCCTGTGGCCCGTAGTTTATATATTTTGCTAACCTGGACAGCCACAGCCAGCATGACACCCCACCTTGGAGTGAGGTATCCAAACTTGAGGTTGCTTTTGAGTCACTTCATGCGACCCAGGAAATCTGATTTGGAGGCCTAATGAGACATTTGACCCAGCCCCAGTGTCAGCCTTAGGGCTGTTTTTACTTGTTGCTCCCTGTAGACTTGTGGCAGGTCTGTGCCCACAGGCCTCCTTGGAAGGAGTAACGTCCTGCAAATTCCTTCAGGATTTCTGCCCAGGCCCTCAGAGGGGAGCCACGTGAGTTGTTCTGAAGCCACCAAGCAGCTGGTTCACTAGGAGGGAAAACGGCCCTGTTGTTCTCCACTGGGGGAGGTACATTCCTACATCTTCTCACCCCTTCAGAAGGAACCAGGAATTTGGGATGAGAGCTGGTAAAATTCATGATCATCCCAAGATGTGTGCTGGTTTGTGGAACCATTTTTGGGTGAACAGATGGTTTTCCTTTGGTGGCTCTCTCCAAAACTGGCCATGCTCAGCTTCAGGGCAAGAAGCACTGTTTTTGTCCTCCCCGCTGTAGCACTTAGGTCAGGAAGGAATGAAGACGGCATTTTGGACTTCACTGGGCCTGCTGGATCATGGGGGAGCCCTCTGGAAGAGGCAGGCCAGGGCCAGATCCCTGCCCTGGCCCCACAAGGGGCATAGTAGCACTGAACAACGGTAGCAAGTTCACGTGACTTGGGAACGTTCAGATCAGTGGCTCATGGAAAAACAATTCTGATTTAGAAAGGATTATGTAGGATAATGTCTGGACTTGATTTCCCCACCTCATTTACAGAGTGAAAATTTGGATCTGCTCCGTCAGGCCAGTATCTCCAGACCTGGAAGGCTGTCCCTGTAAGCCTCCATGGCTTGGCTGGAGGGCTCCTCTGCATTTGTTCTGCAGTCAAGTTGCCATAACGTGTATGAAAGGTGTAACAGAGTTATCAGTTAAAGCAACTACAGGCATTAACTCGTTTAACATTAAGTTTTGTGGGATTTTTTTTTTTTTTTGTATATTGTTTACATTTGAGAGTAGCACTCTGTTTTTAAATGCTCTTGTTTCTCTAACAGTATTGTTGTTGTTGGTCAAAACATTTGAGCTGTGGTTTGGTGGATTTTAGATTTTTTTTTAAGTCATTCTCTCTGTGCTATCTTCAAAACCTTGGGTTTGGGCCCTATTCCTTGGTATTCATATGTTTAAAGATATTTATCTTGGTTTCTACAAGTTTTCTTTCTCTTCTTTTTGTAATGATAAAGGTGTGGTTTGGCTTGCAGTCTGAAAGTGAATGGCATCCTTTTATCTGCTCTCTTTTCTCTGCCATTCCCTTTCTGTGTCGGCGTAGAGGTATCTGAGGGGAAGTAAACAACCCCTGACCTCACTCCCAGGGCCATGAAAAAAGCCAGTTCTTAGGCATCTCTTGAGTAGTTTTGGGTCTCGCTAGAAACAAAGGTCCCAGCATGAGCTCCTTCCCTGTGCCCTGTGACTTGGGGTTACGAGGCAGCCAGTGTGCCAGCAGATCCAGAAGCAGTGCTCCAATCTCTCCTTATCTAGCTCAGGGGTTTACTGGTCTGTGGCTGACACATGAGTGGCCCTGTGGCTACTCTGTGCACTCTTCAGTTCCCACCACAGGCAGCTCTTCCTGCCCTCTCCATTTTTTCCTCTCTTCCCTGTGCTTTAGGCCTAAACAGTTCCCCTGGTAGTGCTCAGCACAGTAGACTGGACTCCTGCCCTGGAGACTTTTCCCTTCTTCACAGTCTGTATAGGCCTGCCCAGGGGAGGTCACCAAAGACCCAGGACTTTTTCAGTAGCCAAATCCCACCCCCAATTGTCTATTTCAGGTTGGAAGAGAGAAAATGTTAGCACTTCTCCAGCATTTGAGCTGGGGCCAGAAGGAACAATGTGTTTAAACAACCCTCAGAGATCTGGCCTTAGATGTGTGGCTTCCCCAAGTCTAGGAAACTCATCTCTTTATGGCAGTAATGTGGGGGGTGGTCCTCAAAGGGAAACATATATTTGGACAGCTACCCCCAAATCTGCCAGCCGTCTGCAGGGGGCAGTGACATGGCCCTAGCCATCTAAAATGTGCCGTTTATGAAGAGTGCCCCCAGGGGGAAGGAGATTCAGCTCTCCTTCAACAGCTTATGCTGAGATCCCAGGAAGGATGCAGGGAAGGGAGCTTCTAGGAGAGCCCTTTCGTTGCTCACAGACACTTTGGGAGGAGGAAGGAACTGGCATCCTTAGCTGGAGACCCAGTCTGCTCAGCACATCACAGTAGCAGGCCCCAGC